ATACATCGGACACCTTCGCAAAAGAGACACAACTCAAATATCAGATATGGAAATATAACTGCCTGAGAATTGTATATATTCAACGCAAATAATACGCAAACCTGCTAACTCCAGCTATAAAATTTTTATTGTAGTACAAAGCAAAAAAAAATCCTGTGAAATTTTAAGAAACGAACACAAAATTTTCTAACCTTTTGGCAACATACTTTAGTAGAAACGAAAACACCATTATTGAATTTTTTGCCTTTTTTGGTCTTGGCGAATTTACGTTTCAGAGCTTTGAATCTGTTAGAAATGCAATTAGTAGTTTGGCCCTTTTGTAATCGATGCGTTTTTAGTTTTCCCTGCATCCTACATTAAAAAGTGCATTTGGCCACTCTAAGCTTTCTAAAATCCATATCGTCGAAGTTTTTGCAAAGCTGCCCATCGACTACAGTAGTGCTCCAGTATAACGAATGCCGACATAACGAATGTTCGGTATAACGAACACTTTTTTCAATGCATTGTTGACTCTATATAACGAATGTTGAAAATTTGAAGAACTCGATATTACGAATGCTTTGCTATTTGTTTTAAGACTGCTTCGAGAATTGCATCAAATGATCTGAAGAAAATAATGTGAAGCATCAAAAAGCATTCGATCTCAAAATTTCCCATCCTTAAAAACAATCGAGCATATACGACCTCTTTACCACGAAATAAAACCACCTCAAATCTAGGAAATTTTGGTGTGGAGGTCTAGCTTCGGTTCTCTGACTATGTTTTTTTTTATATTATAACCTATGTATGGAATTTTTTAAAAAATGAATGAGTAAATATTTTTACTAAGCGTACAAACGTACGTTCATATTTATGTATGAATGTACATAATTTTTGTTTCCGATATAACGAACTTTCAGTTTAACGAACGGTCCTGACATTACTTAATTCTTTATACTGGAGCACCACTGTAATTGCAAAACTGCTTATCTTAAATCACTCAAATTTTCCGAGAGCGAAAAAAACAGTTTTTCATTGAAGGGATTGCTTTGATGTGCGGTATTTTCTCAAGCTAATATTTTACAAATTTGTTATTTTTTTTTTACTATTTTTATGCATAAATCTCGATGCCTGGAGTTCTGGGTTACCAACTCTCATTTTTGCCACAACGGCGATGTAGGCGATATTGCAACTGGTTGATTTGCGGTTTTGCAAAAACATCGACGATACGCAAAAATGACAGAATACTTATAAACATAGAATACATACTTATATACTTATTTTCTGGATCGTGGACGATACTCTTACTTTATTTTGTATTATTGAGTAATTAGTTTAAAGGACATACATATACAGGGCTTTACACAGGGGTTTATGTGAATTTTAGTCACTGTGCAACTAGCTAGTATTTCACCAACAACAATACTATCATCATCATCATCACCATCGCCAATGGCAACAACAAACCCAACAATACCACCATCTACATATGTATGTATGTATGTATGTATGTAGATATGTGAGTGAACCATCACTGGCAGCCAGCTCCGCAGCAGCGATAGCAGTTCGCCAGTTAGCTAGCTGACAACAGTAGTCAGAACGAATCGAGAGGAGCAAGCGTTTGGACGTAGTAGTCGGTATTGGCAATCGACAATCGACNGCAACAGCAACAACAAGTGCAGCAACAGCAGCAAGTACTGCATTTGCAACAAAACGTGAATTTGCCACAGCAACTAGAAAACCCAAATTCATTAAAAAAATATCGGTATCAACGCATCCCAGTAGCGTCTGGTAGAAAATCGAATTTTTTTAAATCAACCACAGCAACAACAACTGGCGAAAAAATGCAAACAAGCGACGATGCAAAATTTATAAAAAAGTGAGTGAATACAGAAGGCAAAACAAAATAGATAATTTTAATAAAAAAAAATAAGAAACAAATTACATATGTATATAAAGCGCATCAAAATTTGCAAAGAAAAAATTTTAAGGTAGTGAAAGATGAGCTGTTTGTGCACTGGCGTAAGTTGAACACAATGCCTCTTTACGGGGCACCCACCAAAGAAACACGCCCCAAATACAAGTGTGCTCATCATAAGCGTTGACAGAGTTAAACAGCTTAGCCCACTATATACTTAAATATACATCAAATTATGATTGTATTTTAAAATACATACATATATACTGTATACTGTATTATGATGCCCAGTGGAAAAAAGTAAAAGTATGACTAACTCTAATCGAAATGAAAAACAAAAGCAAAAATTGTATATCAGAAAAAGCTGATGAAGAGCACCTTTTTCCCAGCGCTTAACTGCAGCTGAAATGTGTGTGTCAGCATTATCGATTTTCCATTTCCACCGCGTTTTCCGACTGCGCGCCGACCGACACGCGAAATTATTGTACACATACTCGTACGAATATGCGGCTACGATGTGCGCCGCGCCGTCCGCACCCGCGTCCCTTTGGCTCACAATCACGCTGACGTAGCTTTCCTCACTCGATGCTCTGCTCTGCCTATAAATGTCGTTAATGTTCGGTAGCCGTTTAAACAAGGGATTTTCATCATAACGACGTCAAACTGGATGTTTTTTTTTCTTTTTTTAAATTAGAAAAGGAAGTTGCCCAAAAAAATGAGTGAACAATGATCCAAATTCTAGACATATGCAAATACATATCGCTAATTTAATAGAATACTGTCACAACTCAAAATACGGGAAGTTGTATCTAATGACGCAAATTTACTCCTTATATCATGCTTAATTTTGTGTAAAAATTTCGTCAAAAATCTTGTTTATTATACGCCTGAGAAGAGAATGTGTCCACTGATTTCTAAATTTTTTTCAGTAAACTGAAAACTTTAAACGTGTCTCTTGAAAAATTTCGCTTTTTTACTTGCATTTAGAAATTTGTTTGACATGTTTTTTATACTTACCTACTAAAAAAACATATGCGAAAATATGTCTTAAAGTACTCTACATGTACATACATATATAAACCTGGCGGAAAAAAGCAATTTCACAGTCGCACAAACAATAAACTCATAAATCATTTAATACGTGTGTATGTAGTATGTACGGGTGGTCCTTAAACTATCAACACGGGAATTTTGTATGGGGCTCCACTTTATTTTGTTCTAAATAGCAGCAAAATAAAGCCATCCACCAAGCTCAAAATATTTGTTTACGGGTCGCCAAATATTTGTGTGGTCTCACGTTGTGGTGATATAATTCAACTCCTTTCCGACTTATATTGTTGTAAACAATCCACTGCTCATCGCGATTTATCATTTCTTTCAAAAAAAAGGTCGTCTACTTAACGGAGGTCTCTTCACGCGCTGTGAAATAAACTTTTTGATTTCATGTGGAGTCCAAATATCGAGCTTAATGCTTCTTCAGATGAGAGTGAACATTTTTTTATTTATTTAAAATTTTTCTGTAATCACTCGTGCCAAATTAAAAAAAAAAATGGTGCAATATTCTATTCTACTTCTATCTGGGTGTCTCTGCTGTAAAAAATAAAGACCCATATGTACGTAGCAAATATTTGTATATAGTATGTATGTACATACATTTGTAAAGTATATAAAAAAAAATTGCAAACAAATTAGGACAACCCTAATTTAAATATAATATTGAAATGAATGCGAGTTTATGTTTATATTCTGTATTTTTCAACCAGTGATAATATTTTGCAAAGTTGGGAAATTCAACGTATGTATATGGGACCCATACATTAAACCTCCTATCAAACATCTTCAAAATTTTTTGTCTTTTTTAAATTTTAATTTAGTGCGAATGCGAAAACATATATGTGTACATGCGTACGTATATACATATGTATATGAATGTATTTCTATTTAGAATAGAATTTAGAATTTTGAAAAACTGGAGGGAAAAATTAAATAATCTCGTTTTATAATTTCATAATTATTGAAAAAATGTACTCGCTTTTATGAAATAATAATAAAATTATAGTTTAAAAAACTAAAAACTCGCTTTTATGATTTTCATTCGTACTGTCATCAGGTTATTTTATGAATGAAAATATAAAGCGATTCTCATTCGTACTGTTTGCCAAGGCTAAACCAAATTTGATAGAACAAAAAAATCTTCCATATCTCGTCAAACATAGAGTCAACAAATTCCATTACTTCATTCTATCTCAAGGGCCACCAAGAGAGGAAAACTGCTTTATTATTATTCCTATTGCCAAACTATATAGAAACAATTCATTCCTCCCCTGTAGTATATCTAAAGTATTACGCTGGAAGAATGGTGAGAGGATGTACAATGTTGTTAAGGCTTTCCTTTACAACAGGAAGTTCACTGTTCGGGTCAATAACTGTTATTCAAAAACTGTTCTTCTCTTTAATGGTGCCCCACAAGGATCCCCACTTTCGGTTATTTTATTCAATATAGCCTTTGAGAAAGTTAGCTCTATTATATTTTTCTAAGACTAAGGACTTGCCGCAATTGGTCCCTAAGATTTGGACCAAGATTTCGGTTTGGAGCTAAGATTTCGGTTTTTTTTCACATATGCAGAAAACACGAATGTATACATCCAACCCTCTCCGTGTATGACACTGCACAAAAAGTATCTTATATTGCTGGAAACACTTTACCATGCAGCAGTCAGAAGAACCTTATCAATGGGGTCAAGTACAACACAAAAATGCTCACCCCAAAGATTGCTCACTGCAGAAATGAGACTTTATTCTCTCTCGTCGAATCCTGCTTTCAACAAAAAAAACCTATGAAGCAGGCAATCAGCTTTATTTCGTATATTAAGCTACATCAAAGATTTGGACATTATATCTACATCGATGCCCACAATGAACCAAAAATCTGGATCTCTGGATCAAACAAAAACTTTCCTTACTTTAAGGTCGAAAATTCTTCCGAATGAGTAATTTTTCTTTGGAATGTGTAAAAACGTACACGAAAATATGGAACCGTGGATGTAATTTATCATTTTGAAGAAATGTTGGGCATGAAGAGGGGATAAAACTTCTTTAGTGCTATTTCGTTCCCATTTTTCTTCATCTTGATTGCTTTTTTTCTTCAATTAAGAGAATGCCCGCAAGGCCATTTGCCCAGTTCTGTACTCATAAATGACCTGGGAGCTTATTTTCACAGACGGTTCCAGATATGATACCGGCATAGAAGGGAACGAGTTTGCAGACCAATGATTTATGTGTTAAAAACTTAGTTTAACATAACATTTACATATAAACACAGTTTTTTTTGCTCTCCTGAAAAATTGAGTTTTTGCAGATAGAGAGTATTGAATATAAGCCCTCGATATGTAACTTGAGAATGGAAATTGCTGCATCTTTTAGGCGCATCAATATTACATAAGCCATCATCGATTCGAGTGGCGAAACGAACGAGCTCAATGAGGTACAACCAAACTAGCTATCGTCTATCCTTGCTAGCTAACTTTGCTGTTATACCAATTCTGCGATATTCATAGAACAATCTTAGGGGGTGAGAGGTTTAAAATTCCAACTTTACTTATTTAGGCCACCCTAATGTACACATGTGTCTGCGGCCATTTCCATAACGATAAAACTACTCGAGAGCTACTCTAGTTTTCAAAAATTAGCTACTCTTATTCTCATGGCCTCATATTTATTTATGTATGTATGTACGAGTAAATGTTTAATGATGTCACCGAAAAATTAATTATGGAAAAGTCGATAATGACCCGCAATTTCAAATAGTACAAGTAATGTCGTTTTGTGCTTGTGGTTTTTTCTGAAACCTCACTTACTTTTAATTACAAACATTACTGCATTATGAAGATAAAATTCTAATTAAAAATAATAAAATAAAACAATTAATATTTATAATCGATTATTATCGCGCAGACGATGGAAAGGCGGCACAATTGAACCACATCCAACAGATAAGGCATTAATTGTCAACTATCAACTGGAAGCGACGGTCTTCGGCGAACAATCAAGCAATCCGATGATTGAAGAGAAAAAGGTAAGTTTAAAACACACACACACACACATATGGGAAAATTGCAATTGATAAGTAATGGCGTTAAAAATAGTCAATAAAACTTTTGACATAACTCTTAAAACAAAAAAAACACCGTGCGACAATCAATTTAAGAACAAACAACAACAAAAAAATACACTCGTAAAATTGTAAATATCGTTAAGTTTTTTCTCTGACATGGTCATTTTTTTAACGGAATTTGAAATTTGAACGATGTGATTAACTCAAAAAAGTTTTCAAAAAAATCAGTGTAATATATCCAAAATACTAATATAAGTGATGAATTAAAGCGAAACTTCTGTAGAATTAAAAAAAAAAATTATTTTGGTGCGCAGGGACAAATAGGTATCGAAAATATCATTTTATATTTTAACCCTTGAATATGATTTAAAATTTCCGTAGGTTATTTTTTTTAATAAATGTTAAGCACTAATATGTGCACAGTCACGCTCTTCGTTCTTCTTCTGACTTTGAACGATCGGTGAACCATGGCTCGAAGGACCATGAACGATCGGTGAACCAATGGGTCGCAACTCCCGCAGTGGCACCAATGTCAATTGAAAAAAGAAAATGGAAAAAACACAACCAAGTGTATTAGTGTATAATAGCTTGAATTTCAAGTGGTTTTATTATAAAATAAATCAGTGGGTGTACAATGTGATTACCTTTTAATATGTATCGCTGGGTGATGGCTGAAGTCGTCCGGTCTCCTTGATAGCTCGAAAGAAGTGAAAAGGTCCCGCTTTGACAAAGTTAAGTTTACCCGCCGGCAGCCAACTGCTCGGAGGGGAAACTTAACGAAAGTATGTTACAACGGGAAATAATACATTTATTGCTAACGGCGTAGCAATAAAGGTAGGCCGTATATATGCCTGAGTGTGTTTGTGTGGTCGGCTCAAGTCAATGCACTTTTACATTAGGGTGGTTCGACCTTTAAATCATTTGGTTTTGCATGAAGGCCTAAACACACTTTATTAGTCATTGATTTCAAATCACATCTTCAATGTCTATTCATCCTTTTAAACAAAATTTTGTTATTTTACATTGTACTGAACTTTTTTAATTATATATATTTTTGAAATTTTAAAGTCCTTTTTAAAATATCCTGACGTCAGAGAGAAAAACTAAAAACGCAGTTTTACTATAATTTTGCCCCTAATTTCGTGTGCATGTTTATTAGTTTTTTCGTGTGTTTTTTTAATTTTTTTTTTTTTTGTCGCACGGTGTAAATAACAATGCTTAATTGTTTACGTTTGTGTTATAACTTGTTTCTTGTTCGAAAAAAGTATAAGTATAGTTAGGTACATAGTATGTACATATATATGTATTTCTGTTTGCATATTATTACACTTGAACTCTAAGCAAAGAGACTAAATAAATCTGTTTGAATTATCTAGTTTCTCTAACTAATACTTGTGCAAATCAGTTAACCTTATGTCTGGAGAATGAGCTAAATAAAAAACCCCACTCTGTTTCTGTCAAAATGTACAAATCGTATGATTGCAGCTTTAAATCATAGACAGATGGCAGCGTTGATTCGGCTCAACTCGGTAATTCGGAATTATCTCGGAAATTAACTGCAGTTGATCGGGATTAAGTCGTAGAGTTAATTTCCAAAATTAATTTGGATCAAGGGAATTTTCGATGACAACACTGGTATTGTACAAGTAAAGGTTAAATTAGTGGTGACGTAACCATATAAAGCAGCTGATCGAACCAACCTTAGGCCAACACTGTATTCGTTTAGTGGTGCCATACCATAACTAATAAACGGTCAAGAAAAAAATTGCCATTATTTCATGTGTGAGTCCAAGGAATTTTGACATTTGGTATTTCACAGTCTGCTGTCTCACTCTTTTCTTATGAAATAATGGAACGGGCATGTCGAGCCCTAACCGCCAAAAAAACGTAAGCGACATATTTTTCAAAATTTTTTATTTTTTTTTGGTGTATCTTAGAGTATCTAAGTGCAATTCTGCATCAAAAATAAAACTTTGAAAAAAATGTCGCTTACGTAAATATTTTTGGCGGTTAGGGCTCGATATATTTCTGTTGCAAACATGGGTTTACTCGTGCTCTTTTCCCACAAAAAAAGCTTTAAAGCTCAGTTATTCTAGACTTAACTTAATTTAACTTACCGTAAGAAATCATCAATGATTACTCAACACGTCAACTTAAGCCAAGAGCGAAAATATTTTGTTTTTGTATTTTCTTTTTCAGCTGTTGAACAGTTCGCCGCCTTAAAAGCCACATCAAAAAAATTCATGCAAACAAAAATTTTTGCTTTCATTTATTTTTAAGAAATACAAAAACGATAGTCTGGTAAGCCTGATTCTCTCACCGCTCTCAATTTCCGTAAGACCGTAACTTAAAAACCTAAACTCTACAGGTTCTTAAATTTCTTACGGTAAGCTAAGTTTTAACTAACCGCCAACACAGTTTCTCATATAACAGGTTGGCCAAAATATTAAGTAAAGTTAAGTTACGGAATTAAGTCTAGACTAACTGAGCTTTTAGAAAACGTTAGTAGAAAGCGTGGCAAATTTCGTAAGAAGTGCATACTGCCTCAAGGAAATTTGGCACAAGAAAATTTCTCAACCATTTATTGTACGTCATTTTGTATGGAGTTTTTGCTTTTTTATATGCAGCTTTCGTTTTTCTTGAGAGCTAGATACTAAGCTTAAGCAAACAAAGCAAGCGAGTTTGACGTTCGCGGTAGCCGAGTGGTGAGAGTTGCGTACTACAACTCTGTAGTTCCCAGGTTCAATCCTAGGTTGGAGCGATCACTAAAAAAATGTTTTTTTTCATTATCTGTTTAATTTTTTTTATTTATTTAATTTATATATTTTATTTTCCTTTATTTGTTTTTCTTTTGTTTTATTATATTTCACATTATTTATTTTTTATTATTAGTTAATTAAAATTTTTAGAGCTAAGTATTATTAAAAAAGTCAACAACTAACTGAAACTAACGTTAAAAAATATAGATGTTATAAAATTTAATGAATAAAAAAATGCAAACTCTACTGACCGTGGAACTCGAATCCTTGACCTTGCGGCTCGTTAATCCGCATTACTGCTGTCTGTCAAGGCACAATTTTGATCAGATCGACTGCATCGTTAATCCGCTGTTAGAGTCTGTTTCTTTGCAGAGTTCAGATGCACTGAACAGACCACTATAATTTCATTGGGTGTTCAAGCACTTCAAAATCACTGCAACACTTTTCCTACGATTCTATTTTACTGTACAAAGAACATGGAAAGCTTAGTTCAGTGGCCAGAAACTACAAACGAATGCACTTAAAAGATCCTAAGTGATGCCTCTTGTAACCAAAATCATACTCACACACGCAAGTACAAATATTCATAAATATGTATGTTTGTACATTTACGTTCTGGAAAATTTACAAGCTACTAAGTACAAGCGTGTTCTCAACTGTTTAAAATACATACTTACTTATACATATATTTATATATATAGGAATGTATATACATACATATAGCGTATGGCCTTTGGTATCAAGCAATACATGCATTTAACCCGCTATCGATTTTCCACCCATTCAATCCTTTCACTAATTTTCCTTTTTCTCAACAAGCCACATATGTATGTATGTATAGGTAACTCCACCACCCATTTGGCTTGGGAAGAACAAACTTGCATTGCATGGCACTTTAACCTCAGAGTTCGCTGGTTCGGCAAGTCGCCTTCGGTTTTCCTTTTAGGAAGGCATTGTCATGTCAGCGGCGACGCTTTTATTTGCAATGTAATGCCCTGTGGAAAATAGAAGCACGTAATAATGCCTTACCAGCAACTTACTCGTTCTCCCGGCGGTCTTTACTAAGTACTTACCAGCTTAATGTCCCTTATGGAAGTAGAAATTTAGAATGTACATTTGGTATCAGACATAAGTACTTCTAGGCCAAATTACCAAATAAGGTACGTATGTAGGCGTTCGGTAGTACATTTTTTTAAAACTTCTTTTCTTGAGACATGATCGGAGGAGAGAACCATTTGGTGCTGTACTAATAGATAAAATTAGTGATGATAACAATTTTGGTACTAAAGGCTGAAAGGAAACATAGATTTCCTAGTGAGGTGCTTATCTATTTTCCTGTTGGGTTACTGCAAGAGTACGAGTATACATATGTATGTATGTAGAAACAATACCCAGTGGGAATTAGGAGCACGTAATAATACCTTATTAGCAACTTACTCTTCACCTGGCAGTCATTACCATTTCCCTGCCGAACGTCCCTTACTTTTACAAAGGCATGGCCGCCTTATGTAAGTAGGAATTTA